GGAACTTTTTTTAATTTAAATATATCGATGGCCTAGGCGCAATACCTTGTATCATTAATTAATCATCATAAGGTAGCGCATGAAAAGTAGTACATAATACTACTTTTTCTTATAATAAGGAAATGTAATTATAATTACGAATTTCATCATCATCATCGTTGTCATCCGATCTTTTTGAAAGTGCCCAATAAAGTTTTCATGTTTTGAAAATTGTATCTTTTATTTTAGAATTAATTATGGAAACATTATAGAAAATGATCGAAAAAGGATCGAGTTTCGATCCTGTTTTCGTTATCAAAAAGGATCGAAACTCGATCCTATTTGATCATGAAAACAGGATCGAAACGATCCTTTTTGACCACGAAAACCTTATCAAAAATGTTCGAAAAAGGATCGAAACTCGATCGTGTTTTTATGATCAAATAGGATCGACTTCGAAATCTGATCGAGAATGATAAAAAAGGATCGAGAATTTCAAGAACCTAGTAGTCGATCATATTTGTTCATGAAAACACGATCGAGTTTCGATAATATGTTATCAAAACTCAATCGTGTTTTCATGATCAAATAGGATCGACTTCGAAATCTGATCAAATATGATAAAAAAGGATCGAGAATTTCTAGAACCTCATTAAATATGATAAAAAAGGATCGAGAATTTTCTGGACCATGATCAAATATGATAAAAAAAGATCGAGTTTCGATCAGTTTTTTTCAGCAGGGATTAAAAAGCTACTTTCCTAGATTTAGCAGCGGAAAATTTTGTAATAATTTCTTGAAAATCTATGGAGCGGGCAACTGTATTTTTAAAGAAGATCATTGCCAAAGACGATAATCGATATTGACTCATGGAGTTCCTTAAAAACGTTTTTATTAACGTTTTGAGAACGATCGTTCTGCCGATGCAACCGTCACAGGAATTGTAAGGTATAGAAAACATAGTGTTTAGCAAATTCTCTACTGACTTAATATTTTTTAGTTCGTCAGAAAAACATTTTTGTAAAGCTATTAATTGATAGGGAAGTCTAAAATATCATCTTCATATATTTCACGAATGTTTTCCGCCATTTGGTATACTTCTGTATCAGTAGAATTTAACAGAACTTCTGTTTCCAAAATACTGAAGTTAGTGGCTATTTGATGTAAACTAATTGTTTTACTTTGATATAATATCTAGGGTCTTAAAAAAACTTCAACTCTAAAAGTATCTTCAGCAGTTTAAAAAACAAAGTCATTTGCAACTTCATCAAAACGTTTGCGAATACGCTTTTGGCAAAATTCTGGAATTATACCCCATTTGCTTTATGTAATATTGGCCTCTTTTTTATATCTAAAAATTCATTCCGAAGTTTGCTTATAAGCATATATATATATTTATATGTCATTTAACACATTTTTTAAAAGTTTACTAGATTTTTGGATATCTTGCTGCTGATTTTGTAAGAGTTTTGATACTGTGTCTATGCGATTTAAAACGTTAGATTGTAAAATAATCAAAAACACTGTTTCAAAGTCCTCCAATGTACTTTTAAATCCTTTCGAGTCGTCTATTTCAGCCTTATTATTAGATGTTAAAATAATTTTTGACAAGGTCTTAAGAACATCAAGATACTTAAAACGTAGGGCTTTATTGCATCATTGCGTGAAGACCAACGGGTTGTTGATAGTTTTTTAAGTTTTAATTTTGACTCGCGTTTACATGATTCAAGCAAACATTATTATTATTATTGGTGGTCTTTTACTATTTACTAAGCCTTAAGCCATTATTATAAATAAATGCCCTGTGAATGTTGAAATATATTTAAAAAAAGTAATCCAAATATTTGAAGAAAAAAAAATTATTTCAATCGCTGGCCGCGGGCCCCTTGAGCTAGCGGGCCTGGTTCCACCGAACCCACGGAACCATTCCCAGCTAGCACGATACATAACGCGAGCTCGTGCGATGTTCTGTTTAGGTCGCATAAATACATCTCGTTGAAAACATACCAGGTATATTGCCGATATATTATTTTTTAATATTGCACATCGATGTATTGTTACATATCTATAACATGACATAAGTACTTGCAACAAACATCTAATGTAAATGTACCAAGAATGTAACTAAAGGTAATTTTAAGTATATTACTTGTCATATGATTAACGGTACCAACAATATAAAAATAAATAAATAAAATAAAAGGCTTAAATAGAGTGAAATTATAATTTATTTAAATATTATTAGTGAAAAACTTTAAAAACAATCGAAATTTCATTTATTAGTATCTAGTATTATTGATGGTGATAATAAAAACTATCAATGTTATGTCAATTTTGCATTTATCAAGTTGGAAGCCATTCATTTTTAGGTTATCTCATGTTCTATTTCCCACCAAAGAACACTTCTTTTTCTATGCTAGCGTGGTTTTATAATCTGTGGTGGTTTGTTCTGTAAGTAGTTTACTGTCTATGCTGTGATCTTTTTTACTTATTCTTTTGTTTTTGTATCTGTGATTTTGGGACATCCTGTATATATGATGGGTTTTTCTTCACTGATAAAAATGGTTTTAGTGGCAAGGGGTGTACCACAATCCACAATGTATGAATTGTAAGGTGTACTAAAGTTCATAAAAAAAGTCAGTCATCTGTATGCATGCAGACCTTTCTTTTTGATAAGCTTTAGTAAACCTCTTGCCACTAAAACCCATAAATGGGAATATAAATTTTGTATCTAAATTTGTTGTTTTTATTATTATTTATTTATTTATTTATTGCCCAACAGAACATGTTCCGATTACAGGACAAAATACCTATATACATATAGAAAAGAAATTTGTTAAGTATAATATATTATGGATAATATTAAAATTAAAATAAATTATAGTTGCTAGATGCAGGACTAAATATACTATTAAGTCTGGTAAAAAATATCACATGAGCTACAGTAAATATTAAAGTATCTGCACATTCTCTGAACAGGTGAATTATACATGGCATTTATTCTAGGTGTTTTATATGTAAAAGTTAATTGACTACGGCTTTGAAAAAATGGAACACCCAAATTCACCAATTCAAGCAGTGCTATATAGAATCAATCTGGTTATGCAACAGTCCATACAAAAACTTCAAGTGCATTATTATTTTTTTTAGCTCCAAAGGATATAAAGAAAATCTATTAAGAAGCTGCCAGTGGTTTGTTCCTCTATCGGGATAGATACAGTCAAGTCTAAATGAAACAAATTTCAAGCCTATCCTTATAAATTTTGTATTGCGGATTCCAAACAAGCAGTATTCCAGCTTAGATACAACAAATGTGTAATAAAGAGACTGAAATGTTCTAATATCTCTAAAACCCCCAGTATTGCGAATTATAAATCCCAAGCTTTTCATAGATCCACAAGCAATGTTCTCAACGTGATTGGAAAACGTGAATTTATTATATGTACAGTGTGTATACAATTTTTTTTACCTTAATATATTAATTTATTACAAGTACTTTTTTTTAATTTCTCTTAGAACTTATAAGTATACATATTAAGGAAATTACTTTGTGTTTTTGTTTTTCTTTTTTATGCATTAATACAGGCATCCGGCAAATCATTTGATGTTTTTATACTTCTTTTTTTAGTATTTGTTTTATAAAATGTAGAAAAACTTAAATTTTTAGATATGTTTTGTTTATAATGTAACAAAACTTATCTAAAAATTTAAGTTTTTCAACATTTTATAAAACAAATACTAAAAAAAGAAGTATAAAAACATCAAATGATTTGCCGGATGCCTGTATCTTTTGCTATAGCCTTTTTATATCAATAAGTTACATTCATGGAACATTACATCTAAACATAGCATGCATGTTTTAAAGTTACTTTAATTGATGTTTCAAACTAACGTTTTCAGTACGTAACAATGTAACATCTCGAAAACATTGTCCAATGTAAACATGTTGCGGAAATTCGGAGGTTGCCTTAATAGACATGCGATATCAACAGTACATTGCACGGGAGGTTTAATGTACCCAATTTTACATCGCTGTACATTGTTGGGATGTTTCTGTGCTAGCTGGGTTGTAGCTACGGCGCTGCGTGAGTCGACAGTCGAGTGACAAGATCTTGTCACAACTATTGCATATACTGAATTTGAAAGTTGCCTGTTACAGCAATATATTGATTTTCAAAGATATTTTTAACCAAATTTAAAGAGGAACTCACCTTTATTATAAAGGTATACCTTTTGGGGCGCCAATTTTGGGACACACTCAATATCAAGACGTACGTCTTGGCGCCCTTAAAAATTAAATAACTCCTGAAATTTTGCGAATTCAAAAAAATGGTAATAAAAAATTCGTCTTGAAATTTCAGGAGGAATTTACCTGTACCCTTTTGGCCCACAATTTTGGGACACCCTCTTAGAACAAAAAACAAGGACACCCGGGTGTCCTTGTTTTTTGTTCTATATCCTTGTTTTTTGTTCTATATCATCATCCTATAGGATAATGAATCTTATAGGATTGTTGTCTTTTTTTTAATAATATTAATTTGAGCAACGTCTTATATGTATCTAGGCCTAGATACATATAAGACGTTGCTCAAATTAATATTATTAAAAAAAAGACAACAATCCTATAAGATTCATTATCCTATAGGATGATGACAGATTTCAAAATAATTTTTTAATAAATCAACATATTCATATAATACCTATATATTTATATATCCCGTTTGTTTGAATGTAGGCAGGCAAGTATTAAAGGAAAATTGGTCTTGAAATTTCGGCCGCCAATTCTGAAGACGCAGAGATAAACGCAGAGAAAACCCCGAAGGGATAAATGATAAGACGTGATTTGACCTTCGGTCATCTATGGCCCATTTGGTGTATCTTGCCCATAGACTATGGGCAAGATACACCAAATGGCATTTGACGTAGCAGTGCAACGTTGCCATTCCGCTCTCGGCCCGATAAACATTCGGTAAAATATTAATGTAGTTCATTCGTACAAACACGTTTTTGACATAACCTCACAGAACATAACCTTAAAAAAACTCAAAACATGTCAACCTGTGTTTTGTAAAAAAAAACGTAAAAATGCAAGATTTACCGGGATTTGCTGATCCCAATGGAGTTGTAGAAATAGAAGGCAACGATGATGGTTATAAGAGAAAAGGTGCGAAAAAAACTGGCGGTTTCCAGTCTATGAATTTAAGTTTTAACTCAATTAGAGGTATTACAAAAAGAGGATATAAGCAACCAACACCAATTCAAAGAAAGGTAGGTATTTAAGATAAATTTATTTATAATGATTTCTGGATATTTTAGACAATTCCCTTAATTTTGGAAGGCAGGGATGTAGTTGCTATGGCTAGAACGGGCAGTGGTAAAACTGCTTGTTTTTTGATTCCAATGTTTGAAAAACTTAAACTAAGAAGTGCCAAAGCAGGTGCAAGAGCCTTGATAATGTCACCTACAAGGGAATTGGCTCTCCAGACCTTAAAATTCATTAAAGAAATTGGAAGATTTTCCGATTTAAAAGCTTCTGTAATTTTGGGTGGTGATTCAATGGATGATCAATTTTCTGCTATTCACGGAAACCCAGATATAATTGTTGCTACACCAGGTAGATTTTTACATGTTTGCGTTGAAATGGAGTTAAAATTAAACAGCATAGAATATGTTGTTTTTGATGAAGCTGATAGATTGTTTGAGATGGGTTTAGGAGAACAATTAAATGAAATTGTTGGAAGACTACCAGATTCAAGGCAAACTGTTATGTTTTCTGCAACTTTACCAAAAGTCTTGGTTGAATTTGCTAGGGCTGGATTAAGTGATCCAGTTCTTTTGAGGTAAAAAAAAACAATTAAATTTAAATTGTTTTTAAATTATTCCTTTTATTTATAGATTGGATGTGGAGTCAAAATTACCTTCAGAATTGCAACTTTACTATTTTCCAGTTAGACCTGAAGAAAAACTTGCAGCCCTTCTAGTATTACTTAAATCTCACATTCATAAAAAACAACAAACTCTTGTATTTGCTGCCACTAAACACCATGTAGAATACTTGCATCAGGTTTTGGACCGATTAGGTATAAGCAATACCTATATTTACTCAAATTTAGACCCTTCTGCAAGAAAGATCCATGCTGCCAAATTTAGCATGGGAAAAGTTCAAGTTTTGGTTGTAACTGATGTTGCTGCTAGAGGTATTGATATACCTCAATTGGATAATGTTATTAACTTTAATTTTCCTGCCAAACCTAAGCTATTTGTACATAGAGTAGGTAAGTACACCAAATAATATATTTATCAGAGCTCCAGAAAATTGTTTTTATTATTTATTTAAACTCATTTTTATAGATTTTTAAAAGCTGCACCCATTTTTCACCTCCAAATCATTTTTGACATAGATAGGTACTGATTTTAAAAAATATTTTTTAAAACAATTTTGGTGTTAGACAAATAGTTGGTAATAAAACAGTTTATTTTGTACCAACAGAATTTGTAGTATAGGCACTTATAGCACTTTTATCCTCAAACTATCATTTTTGGCCACTAGTAAGTAGCAATTGCTATATTAATATATCTCAAAATAAACCGTCCCTGTTGTAAATGACCTTATAGAAACCAATTGAAGTATTGGTTGGTATCAATAGGTCTGAATTGGACTTACTGGGTTTAATTGGGAGTGATATAAAAGAGAAATTGGTTTTTACTGGTATTTTCCATGATGGAAAAGTCCAATTAGGATTTGACTGTTTTTTAGTGGTTTTGATTGGTTAAAGCTACCAATAGGTAATTTTCAATTGAATTCAATTGGGCATTCCCAGAGTAAGATTATAGAAAGGAATCTGCTAATTGGTTATTCCCAATACTTTAAAATATGGAAAAGTCCAATTAGGATTCTACTGTTTTTTAGTGGTTTCGATTGGTTAAAGCTAGTAGCTTTAAGCTACCCATAGGTAATTTCCAATTGAATTCAATTGGGCATTCCCAGTGTGAGATTCTAAAAGGAATCTGCTAATTGATTATTCCCAACACTTTAAAATATCGCAAGAGGGCTCTCGTGTAGCTGCGCAAAACCAACGTACGCAGTCCTTGTTCAAATGGTTGAGACGCCATCATAAGGAAACAAATAAGTCTTTGGACGCTATTTAATGTCGTTTTTTTATTAGTCGGTTTCTTTTATAATTTATGGGTTTCTGTGCTTAGTGGTAGTTGTTTACTTATAGTGGTGTGTACTTTTACCTTAAAAAAATGTTTATATGTGTACGGTTTAGGGACGATGGCGTGATAATGGTGGTTACAGCGGACAAAATAAAATTTTTTGTACATAAATAATATTGATTTCGACCATGCCTACAAACATCCTTTGCAAGAAAGACAAAAAAATGATTATAACCGAGTAATTTTATTTCTTTTTATTACTTTTTTTGTGTTAGTAAGTTATATGTTTCAATACATACTATCGCTAACAAAAAAAACTCATACAGCTATATTGTGGCTGTGTGAATAAAACTTTTCCGTCAATGTCAAGCCACAGAACATAAGCTGTCAAGCTGACATCGAGCTTTGTCACATCCATTATGACTTTTTTAACAACATTTTCAACCAAACAATGCAGACGAACTCTGGCAAGCCATTGAAGCCATTTGGAACGAGATAAAGCAAGACGGCGACTTCCATGCTTTGCCGTTTGCGGGCAGTAATTGACAAAAACAGAGGGATGACGAAATATTATTTTTTTTTCAACACTTCAACCTAACTTTGTATTTAATTTTAGACCTTTCAAATGTGACGTATCATGTTAAAAGCCATAATTACTCCAACGAAATGATAGAAAATCAGGAACACTAGATTTTTAAGCTGTATGAGTTTTTTTGTTAGCGATAGTATCTCACTAACACAAAAAAAAATAAAGAAATAAAGTTACTCAGTTATAATATTTTTTTTGTCTCTTCTGTGAAAAATCAACTGGTATTTTTAATACAAATTTAAAAAAATTAATTGGTTCAAATTGGTTTAACTGGGTTTGGCACTATGAATTACCAATTCATTTCAGGTGTTCTATTGGATTTAGTCAATAGAGACAACCTTAGGCATGGATTGGTATATTCCAATTTAAGCCATTGACTTTATTGGAACTTACCAATAGGAATGCAACTGAAATGAATTGGTGATTCATAGCGCCAAAACACATTTCAAACCAATTACTTATTTTTTGTTGGATTCTATCGGTCATTTACAATAGGGGTCTTATAATCATCATCAGTAATAATAAAAACTACAAGTGGAGAAAAGTAAGATCTTGTTGTCTTATTGTTCAATAACCTGTGGAGAAAGAGGTTAATTTTTTCGATAGTTCAAGATTGATCCACTTTCTCAATTGAAATATATAAAAATGGACAAATTCCTTAATATGATTAAAAAATATTTAAATATGTACAAATTCCCGGGCCCATAGGCTTTGGGGGCCGCGGCTTACAGGTACATACAAATATCTTAATTAATTCCTTAACTAAACTAGAGGCCCAAAAGGCTAAACCCAGGGCCCGATACGGCTCTCGGCGGCCCTGGGCATAGGCAAGGCATATGCTCGGAATGGGCAATATTTCCTGTGGCGACAGGCTTGCCGCGGGTTAGTTTCTAGTTGATGTTTTAGTGATGTTCTCGACTTCCACGTTCAAAAGAGCAAGTAAATGTAAACAAATATTGCAGAAAAAGGCTAAAAATACCTATTGCAGATAAACTGCAGATAGAAATATTCAGTCTGAATTAAACCCCGCAAAATACATAAGATTTAATAATAAAGACATCCTGACGAGTCGGTGCCTTGCCTGCACGAGAAGTAACAATCGGCCTTAAGTGATCTTTTAAATACACATTGACAAGCTGAGTTTTAGTCACGAGCTGAAGTTCACGGGCAAGTTAGTTGCAGTTGCAAATGTCATACAAGATGTCAACCTTCGCTTGTGTCTAATTAAAAGTCGTGACTAAAATGCATTTTGTCAATTTTGTTACATAATATACTAATATGAGGTTGTAATTAGTTGTTAGGCGTCAGTGATTGGCCGATATTCACTGTGATTTGTACCAATCGGGTTTTAAATTAGTAGAAACTTTCTCGCCCCTCGTATCCAATCATAAAACTCGACATATGTCTAACGGTTTTAACCTCACTTTCTACTTTTAATAATTGTACAATTAATTTATTGTTTAACAAATAAATGAAATGTTTAATTCTGTAAAACAATTGCTTAAAAATTAATAATAAAATGAGATGTCTCACCCTTTTTTTGGACTAAACTAATAGTAAGGTATGTTCTTTGCTTTAAACTTTGTGCTCAGTTCAAGAAAGTTATTTTGCAAAACAAATGCTTGAGAAAATTTGTAATAAAATGAGATGTTTTACCCCTTTCTTGGATAATAAAAACTAAAGTAGGTAACTAATAGTTCTTTTTATCCAAGAAAAGGGTAGGAAATTCAATTTAATTACTAATTTTAATTTGTTTTGCAATATAACCTTTTTCTTAAACTGGGATTACCTACATTGGATTAATTAATGTAAGGCCCACCCCTTGTGGATTTTTTTCTCTGAGAAAGTTTTAATAAGAGTTTTGAAAGTCTTACTTTCTCTTAAAAAGTCTGAATAAGACTTATTAAGTCGGAAAAAGTCAGAATAAGTCCGACTAATAGCAAGATTTGGGAGTCTTCTGGAAGAGTTAATAAGACTTTAAGACTTAATAAGACTTTTAGCAGAGAAATGGTAGGTACATATAGCGATTAAAATAAATATCCGGAATTATTCAGAGATGTTGTATTTGGTTATTGCAAAAGAAAGCACAATGAAAAGTATTTGTACACTGTTTTTGTGTTGTTATAGGGCTAAAAACACGGAAGCAATGTTTACAATATAGGTAAACAAACTTTATTTTAATTGAACAGAATAAAACAGTTGGGAGATACGTTTGGTTTGTGTGCATACAGATGCCTTGTTGATTAAGTACATAAGGTATAATAACTATAACAATTCTTCGCAACGCATAGGCATGATATGGTCGGCAGTCGAACTCATACAAAGATATAAAACAAATATGGTTGATCTTCGAGCTGCTTTCATTGCTTCTTGTGTTTTATACAGTTGCCGGATAATTGTCATAAATGTTCCCGACCAAAAATTACAAAATATTTAAAAAAACTTGTTATATTTTAAATTTAATAGCGCATTCGCCCTGTTTTTAAAAAATTTAGAATTAAAATTTTTATATAAATAAATAAAAATGTAACAGGATATCCTATACAGTGCTTGCAAATCCAAGTCCGACCGGGTTGGGAAGGACGGTTCTTCAATACTCGCGTGAAAAGAACAAGGATAGAACGCCAAACAAAAATTCGTTGGCAAATAAATACTTCTTTGTGTTGTATTTTATAATAATCAAATAGTTAGGTTCCTACCATTTATCTGATAAGTCTTATAAAGTCTTGTTAACTCTTCTAGAAGACTCCCAAATCTTGCTGACTTACTCAGACTTAATAAGTCTTATTCTGACTTTTTCCGACTTAATAAGTATTATTCAGACTTTTTAAAAAAAGTAAAAACTCTTTTAAAACTTTTTCAGTGAAAAAATTCCACAAGGGACAGTAAGGCCTTATAGAAAAGTTAATAATTTATTTAACTATTTGTCTCATGGGTATATTTTTTAGGTCGTTGTGCAAGAGCGGGCAGAGAAGGTACAGCATTTTCTTTAGTAACCCCCGACGAATATGCGTATTTGTTAGATTTATTCTTGTTTTTGGGTAGACCCTTGGATTTGTCGTCTCCAAAAAACAAAAATGGTTGTATAGGAAAAATACCACAATCTCTGATTGAAGAACAGCATAGTTCTTTGATGACTTTACATGAAAATCAAATTGATTTGGTATGTTTTTAAAGTATAAATGTTATATATTTAATTATTTTTTTAAATTCAGGTTAGTACAAGAAAAGTAAGTGAGAATGGTTATTTACAATATATTAGGTCAAGACCAGCAGCTTCATCGGATAGTAATAGAAGAATGAAAGAAATACCAATTGCAAATTGTTTAATTCATAGTTTGTTTAAAAATCAAGGAATTACTGATGAAGATGAAAGGGAGAACTTATTGGACAAAATGAAAGGGTATAGACCTCAAGGAGTAAGTAATTTTTTTTTTACATAATAAAAATATTTTGAAAATAACATTGGCATTCTGTGATATTTTTATTATATTATTGTTATTATTTAATTAAATAATAATAATAATATAATAAAAAATGTTGCCACTAAGATTGGATTAGTCCAATCTTAGTGGTAACATTTGCTCATTATGTTACATAAAAATCCTGTTTAATTTAATTTGGACTACACAACACCTACTGTGCAAATATATAACATAAAACTTATGAGCCATTCCATGCCAAATCAACACACTTTAAAAAGAAATTTTTCCTCACCATTTCAGATTTTCCTAAAATTTGGTATACTTATACTATGTACTAAGACTAAGAAAAATACCAATTTTTAAATTTTTATCTCACACCGTTTCCGATATATGGCTATGTAAAGTTTTTAAAAACTCGCGAAAAAAGTGTGAACGTTTATTTTTTAAATTGCGCTTGAAGCTGTCCTAATTTAGTTAGAAAGCTGGGAGAGGTGTCATTTTGCAGCATTTTAAATGCTCTTTCAAATGACATACGACTGCCAAGGGTATTAATGAAAAGATTTTGTTCAAAATCCATATATATATTTTGATTTAATTTTTTTTTTAAAAGTACATAATTTAAAATTCTCAAAATATTTGTATAAATACTTGGTAGTGTTCTGAATCATATAATAAAATATTAATGTGGGGTGTTAATGGGTTCATTGTTAAAAAAAATATTTCTGATGCTGGTTTTTCACTTTTAACTAATTTTGACATTATTCAACGTTTATCAGGCTTAAGCCTGACAATTGTATTTTTTTTTTATAATATCGGCTGTCATCATTCCCGACTTGTGTAATTTAATTACTGTGATACGCTTGTTTTGGCGATTCATATTGAACTAAATTTTAAACAAAACAACATAAAATGAATATTTTCAAAAATATAAGGGTTCTAAGAACCCTAATAATATCGGCTGCCTACATTCCCGACTTTTTTAATTCAATTACTGTGATACGCTTTTTTTGGCGATTCATATTCAACTAAATTTTAAACAGAACAACATAAAATGAATATTTTCAGAATTAAAAGGGTTCTAGGAACCTGCTCGAGCAAACAATTTCCGCGAAAACCTTATTGATAAATTTTAAACTCGCTTAAAAAAAATTCAGGGAACTTTTATCGGACCCTGTATATATTCGTAGTTTATTTAAAAATAAAACTATAAATGAGGTGTGTTTAAAGTGATTTTGGTGTCAACATGGAGCCTACTATTGTAATAGTGCAGTGTTATAATCCAATGAAAAAACAAATCATTTTATTAGAGTCAGAAAAAAACTGAGAAAAGTCCCAGCATGGATGACTGGATTATTTCCACAAATGCCTATTGGCTCCATGATTTGTCATACCCGCAGGAAAGATGTAACGAAACTGTCAAAATTAGTTAAGTGAAAAACCAGCATCACAAATATTTTTTTTAACATGAACCCATTAAGACCCCACATTTATATTTTACTATATGGTTTAAAACAGTACTAAGTATTTATACAAATATTTTGAGAATTTTAAATTATGTACTTTTTGAAAAAAAATTGAATCAAAATATATATATATGGATTTTGAACAAAATCTTTTCATTAATACCCTTGGCGTTCGTATGTCATTTGAAAGAGCATTTAAAATGCTGCAAAATGACACCTCTCCCAGCGTTCTAGCTGAATTAGGACAGCTTCCAGAGCAATTTAAAAAATACACGTTCACACTTTTTTCGCGAGTTTTTAAAAACTTTACATAGCCATATATCGGAAACGGTGTGAGATAAAAATTTAAAAATTGGTATTTTTCTTAGTCTTAGTACATAGTATAAGTATATCAAATTTTAAGAAAATCTGAGGTGGTGTGGTAAAATGGGTGTGTTGAGTTGACATGGACTGACCCTTATGTAACACATTAAAACATCTAGAACAATTGAGGAGCATCCGTGCAAAACCGGCTAAATCCATTTTATTCAGTTTTTGGTTTTTTTTTCTGATTTCGCATCTTTGGGTTCATTTCTATCGACAACCAAGATAATTCTGTTTAAATCCGACTATATCCATGTTAAAATCACATTTAAAAGGTAGCTTTAGGAGCAAAACCGGCCAAATCCATGTTTTTATAGCAAACCCGGCTATATCCAATAAATAATAATGATGATGAGCATGTGGCTTGGATATGTCGATACTACTACTAAAATTTGTTCTGTTTTTTCATGTTTGCACTAAATTTATTTTGTTAATATTTTTGAATAATAAATTTTATTCGGTTTTTGAGCAAAACCGGCTATATATATATATATATATATATATATATATATATATATATATACAGGATGGCCGATTTATCTGAAGACATTGAAATATTTCGAAAACTACGCATCGGATCAAAAAAAGTTTTGAATAAAATTTGTTCGCCTGGAAGGGGGACATCCAATGATACCAAAGTCGACCCCTCACCACCACCCCATGGGGTGGGGGTGGGGGCAACTTTAATATTCTAAATAGGAACCCCCATTTTTTATTGCAGATTCGGATTTACTATTAAAAAATAAGTACTTTTATGGAAAAACTTTTTTTAAATTCCTGATAGATGGCGCTGTAATCGCAAGAAACCCGATTTTTGGGAATATCTTAAAAAATTACACATCGGATCGAAAAAAAGAAAAACTTGTTTAATTTTTGGATTTTATTCGTATATCAATAAGTTAACATCTATTTTTAAAATTACCCAAGAATGGGAAATCCGAATCTGCAATTTTTCAAGATATTCCCAAAAATTGCGATTACAGCGCCATCTATCAGGAATTTAAAAAAAGTTTTTCCATAAAAGTTACTTATTTTTTAATAGTAAATCCGAATCTGCAATAAAAAATGGGGGTTCCTATTTAGAATATTAAAGTTGCCCCCACCCCCACCCCATGGCCATGGGAACATGGGAACATCAAAAGGAATTAATTAATTTAATTTATTTTGAATTCCCTTACAATTCTCGTATACACTAATTATATTTTTTAATGGGAAATCCGAATCTGCAATTTTTCAAGATATTCCCAAAAATCGCGATTACAGCGCCATCTATCAGGAATTTAAAAAAAAGTTTTTCCATAAAAGTTACTTATTTTTTAATAGTAAATCCGAATCTGCAATAAAAAATGGGGGTTCCTATTTAGAATATTAAAGTTGCCCCCACCCCCACCCCATGGGGTGGTGGTGAGGGGTCGAATTTGGTATCATTGGATGTCCCCCTTCCAGGCGAACAAATTTTATTCAAAACTTTTTTTGATCCGATGCATAGTTTTCGAAATATTTCAATGTCTTCAGATAAATCGGCCACCCTGTATATATAATATAATAATATAAAGTTTTTGAAAACGAAAGTATGTCTTATAAATCAAGTACCACAAAGCCCACAAAACTCAAGTTTGCTTTTTCTTTCATCTGTAAAGGCCAGGAAACCGAGAGTTTTTGCCATTTTCCCAACATTTTATTAAAGTGGATATAGCCGGTTTTGCCCGGATGCTCCTCAATTGAAATTGGTTATCAGTTGTAAACATAGTGTTCACAAATTAAATCAAACTGTGCAATATAACAGAGACTTTCATAAATACTCAACAACCCGGACAACATTCGCGATATTCATACGAACATCATGATTTTCACAAATTTTATTCATACTGATATCATATGGAAGTCACGGACATCATCCGGATGTTACTGCGTGAGAAATGAAAATCATGTCGTGATTTTTTATGCCATCGCTGTTTGCGATTGGCCTAAATAATCATATCGTGATTTTTTATGCCAACGGTGTTTGGATAATCATTTAAATCACGACGTGATGTTCGTATGAATATCACGAATGTTGTCCGGGACATGGGAATATCTTTTTTAATTGAACCCGGACAACATTCGTGATATTCAAACGTTTTATAAATTATAACGGTGTAATGTGAATAACAAACTAGGTTTTAAATTCGCAGTTCGCAGGGCTCATACGCATGCGCAAAATTTGCAAATATCACACCGTGAGTTCTACATGATATCACTGTGATGAAGCATGCGTATGCACTCAGGATATCACAGCGTGATAAAAAATCACATTGTGATATTATCATGACTTCACCAGGAAATCCCGATTGCTTACAATCCTATAATAGACTCCCGCAAGAATTAAAACAAATAGACGAATGGAATAGTTTTTGTGAAAGTAAAGGCATATCTGATCTCTGGACATTTTTCTTAAACTTGTTTGCATACATAAAAATATGATATATTTTATCTCTTTGTTATGATTCATATATATTTTATTACTTTATAGCTTAGAAACACAGTTTTTATTTATCTTTTTTTTTGTTATATTAGTTGTTACCTAATTTTAGTTTTTTTCTGAATGTTGTGACAATAGGCCTCAGTACCAGTTTTTATAACTGTTTTTGTCATAAATAAATAAATAAATAAAATACTTAATATAAGTGTAAATATATTTGTTGCCTCTAAATAATTTTTGTTTTTTTATAGACTATTTTTGAAATATGCGGTAAGAACAAGTCTCAAGAATACATTACAATGAAGCAAAAAAGAGCATTTCATAAGGAAAAAATTTCCGCTCATCATCAAATTGTTGATAAACGAAAAATGGAAATAGAGTCTGCCTATGAAGAAAGACAGGTAACCTTACCAGGTAGTAATAGAGAAGAAATTAACGAAGCTTTCCAACAAGTTATTTTTCCCAAAAAGAGAAAAATCGAGGATTTATATAAAGTTAAAAATAAAAAACCTAGAATTGAAAAAGATGATAACTATATTCCATATGCTCCTAAAGATCAACACACAGAGGAAGGGTAAAATAACAAAATCAATTTGTCTTCCTTTATCTATAAATACCTATTTTTTTTAGTTTGGCTGTAAATAACTTTACCAAAGATGCTAGCAGGGCACAATTAGATTTGATAGGTGATTCTGGTGAAGGAATGAAAGTTACTAAACAACTAAAAAGATGGGACAGAAAGAAGAAGAAAATGGTGGCAGTTGAAAATCCAAGGTTGGGAAAAATTAAAACAGAATCTGGAGCTTGGATACCTGCTACATACAAAAGCAATAGATATGCTCAATGGAAGGAAAAAACCAAGATTGATCAAGATCGTGATGATGACGATGATGATGAGGGAGACAAACAAATGCAAAGAGGTAGTATACTTTTATTAGTATTATTATTACCTATCTATCTAAAAGTTATTTTTCTCCAATGAACCGGGGGCAGTTTGGAAAGTACAAGGCTTTAATAAAAAACCTTGTGTACGCGCGTTAGAATTTTGCATGCAAATAATTTATGTAAGCAGGAAAATCCATAAAATGTTCAAAGAAGATATCAAATACAATTAATAAAGGTTTTTTTAAAAATTAAATTACAATTTTTTGTACATTTTGAATATCTTGATTATTTAGAATTATGGAACATTTTTACCACCATTTTTATAATTTATGCTACCGTGCGAATTTTTCCCACTATTTTGTAATTTTGAACTACTCTGCGGATGTGTCCTACCATATTTTAAATTTATGAATTTAAGGGGAGTTTTTAATTATATAGTTTTTGGGCAGTTCCATTTTGTTTAGGTCTCACCAGTGTTGCCAGTCGTACCATTATAATGGTATTTATTCCATTTTTTTGTACTTCGTACCATCGTCAATTTATGTATCATTTTTTTACGATTTTGTATCATTATGTACCATTATTTTTTAGACGGAATTGTTTTTTTTTAATTTAATGCCAATTTTGTAAATTTGTGTCCACCTTTATGGTGGAAAATGTAATTTCTTGCCTACCTATACACACTGCGCCTCGTAGGTAGGCAAGACAAATTACCATTACCATTAAATCGGTACTTGGTACCACTTTTGGATTTGCTTCACCTGGCAACACTGGGTCGCACGCACATCTACATCTTACGCGTCCAGCCGTAGCATGGATGTTGCACACATAACTAACGGCGTTTAAATATTTTACGTGAGCAGAGGCGTAGCTAAGCGTTAAGCTAAAGGGTAGTTGGCACTATTAATATAGGCAGTGCATCAGGTCCCGGTAACCGGGACATGAAAATTACAATCGAAATCCCGACAACCGAAATTTTTTATATTTTAGTTGGAAATCCCGTCAGCCAGGATTTATTTAAACTCCCGACAACCGGGATTCCTTGCGCCTGAGATCGTCTTAATTGTCCAAATGGCTTACCGTGGGGCATGCACATTTCTGGCGGTGCGCCGTGCATGTAGTGTAGTGAAGGGAATAATCGAATAAAAATAATCGAAGTATTCGATTCCGGCGTGCATTCGATTCTCAACAAAGTATTCGAATACTTCGAACCTTTCGAATCGAATCTAAAGCGCTTGCGTGTCATCCAGCGTAAGGGAGACGAAATAAATGAATGCATTCAAACAAGGAATTGACTAAAAACTAACTCTAAATTAGAGTCTCTAATACATTTAGTTCTTACGAAAAGATGCACCAAACTCCTTATTGCGGTTCACACACTCTGAAAGGAATATTATATACAAAAGCAATGGTTCTTTACTTACGAATCGCGCCAAGGGTGCTAGTGTTAATTTTAATATGTACTCAAATCTAGTAAATATAACGGAGACATAATTATCTAACAATTATTATTAAAACTTATTTAAATGTCACAAAAATAAAACATATAACCGACGTTGCAAACAAATTAAAACTAAAGAATGTTGAAAAACTTTGGTGAAGATTTTCTTAAGGATTTTAATTTTTAATCAAAAGGTATTATTGTATTAAAAATAAAGAGCATACATTTTTACTTTATTAAAATAGGCCATGGCCTATTATGCATAAATTATCGCCTATTTACAAAATCTGACAAATAATATAGTTTATGTTTTATGACAAAAATAAAGAAAGCATGTCATAAATCAATTAGTAGGTATATCAGCCGGTTTAGAATTTATATTGCAGCCAGTGCGACGCCAACCTGCTTAGCCCATAACGAATTGTAGACCAAAAATAAAATTCGAATGGTCATTCGAATACAGAGAATCGAATAATTTCTTCCGAAAACATTCATTCAATAAATGTTTTCGGCTATTATCGGAAGTTTCGGTTCGGAACAAATTATTCGATTCTCTGTAGTCGGATGATCATTCGATTCGAATGCAAAGTATTCGATTCTAAAAATAATTCGATTCTCCCTTCACTAATGTAGTGGTATCCGAACTCAACCCAACCAAATGCAGTCACTGCCGGGATTTCTAAAATGTAAACAAATTTGATTGTAATTTTCAGGTACCGTCTGCCGGGACTATCTTGATATTATTTGATATATGGTAACTCTATCGATAGTTTTCGTTATTCAAATTATTAAAAGAACAATGGTCGCTTCACTATCGATAATCGGAGAAAATTATTAAAAGAATAATAAATTTAAAACAAAGTGTTATTTAATTTTATGAAAAAATGCAAACATATTGATTTTGCCGATCGAAGAAACCAGGGATTTCGCTCACCGAGGTAGCGGGGACGCAAAAATATTTTTTTGCTAACAGATTCAAAGTATACTTATTCCATGTTATACATAAAAACAAATAAATTATCAATTATTACTGTTGGCGCCAAATTTTAAAACAAGACATCGAAATTTCAAATGTCAAAAACCGTTGTCGACATACCATGTGTACACAAACGTAGGTATACCAAAAAAAATAGCAAATTGTAATGTGTGTGCTTGGTTTACAAATTGATAATGCAATGGAAAACTTTCCCAGCGGGGACTATAGCGCATAGAATACCCACAGATCATAAAGAATACCTAAAAGTAAATTGACAGAATGTGAGTGTGGCTCCTTAAGACTTACAAGATATGTTGTTTTTGTGAAAGCTTTAATATTAGGCGAAAAATGAAAAAGTTATAAAACTATTTAAAAATATCGCGATATAAAAAATATTGATATTATTCGATAGCTTTAGACCTCTAGCGTCGGCGACTTAGGGGTCTTGCAAAAAAAATTACTATTTAAAAAGTCGTACGAGTCAGTAGGGCTGTCATGGCTATTGCCAGAACAAGATTTCGAAATATCTGCAAATTTTTAATTTATTCTCACTCTCTTGTAATATTAGTGTTGATAATTGTAAATTGTTTTAGAGCCAAAAGGTAGGCCAAATACACACTGGGCAAAACATAATGAAAAGGTTAAATTAAAACAAAAACGATCAGAAATGAAGACAACAGATCAAATTTTGAAAGCGCGTCAAATAGACGAGAAGAAGAAGAGAAAACAGAAGGGCGGCAAAAAGGGAAAAGGAAAAGGCAAGGGTAAAAGCTCTGGTAAAAGAAGCAAAAAATGATCTTTAATTATTTACTTTCATGAATAAATATTTTAAGTTAATTTAGATTTTTTTAATGAATTTTGACTTGAAAAGGTCTTCCCAGGATGAACTTTCTATATTTACATCACCATTTAAACATTCAATTGATAACTTTCCGCTTTTATCACCTTTTTGAAAACTATAAGTGTCGTTTTGTATCTTTACATTCATACTGTTATCAATTTTTACATTTTTTGAATTTATTTTAAACTCGCAAGTCTCCTGACATTCCTCTGATAGTTTTAAATTTAAATTTCCATTTTCTATTTTAATTGCAGAATTTTCTATGAGTCTTGAAATTTGTATGTTGGCATCACCCTTTTCTACTATTACATTTAAATTACCATCAAACCCAGCTAAAAAATATTTAATTTTATGTTATTATTAAATGGAAATAGGTACATATATAATATAGCTATTATAATAGCTTACCCAGGTTTAGTTTTCCCTTCTTTAAAATTATTGTGCAGTTTTTATGAATATTATTTAATTGTAACTCTCCTTTGTTAGCTTCAAATTTACTTTTTTCACTATATGAAGAAGATATATTTATAAAACCTTCATTTATTTTTAAATGTACATCCAAACAATGCAATTTACCTGTTGTTATAGACTAAAATGAAAACAGATAATGGAAAAATATTTTTTAATAGGCCATTGTTTGTACCCCTGATTTATAAACTGATCCAAAAAATTTACTTGATTGTACTGGCCCTTTAATTTCAATATTTCCTTTATTTGTCACAAGATTCAATTGATCTCCATAATAGTTTTTAAGAGAAATATTTCCATTATCACTTTCAACTTTAATAAAATCATTATTAAAGGATCCCACTAATACATCTTTCTTGGATTTAACATCTAAATCTGTAAGGTAATTTGTTATTAATAAATTAATACCACTTTAGATAGTTAAAACTTACTTGCTTTAATTGGGGCTACAATTGCGGAGCAATAATTGTTATTATAATCTTTACTTTTATTTGTGATTTTTATATTATCATCTTCAATGCAATGTTCTAAATTCTCTTCTAATATTAACCTATCACAATTAGGATATTTATGAACATTCAAAGATTCAATATGTAGTTTGCTTGGCACATTTACCATTAAATTACTGAATGTGGGAACTGTTATTTCCTGTATATTTGTGGTACTGCGGCTAAAATTTCGTACTAATGAATTTATTAATTTAACGACGCCCCTAAAAAATGACATCTAATAAAAATTATTGTATTTATTAAATTGATATAATTACATTTTGTATATCCTCCTTCCCTTTAATTTGGTTTACCTACCTTAAAGAAAACAAAAAGGTCTAAGATAACTAATAGTTATTAACTATACAGCTTTAAGTTATTTCTGTTAAAAATCTGAACAATAGTAAAAAAATTGCATTTAGTTTTTTTATTAATTAAATTTAAATCGTTTTTTATATTTTCTTTTGTATTTTTTAAATACCTTAAATTATTTGAATATTATTTTGGAAGATATTTTTGTCAACATTGCATTACATTTTATGTAATAAAAAAATAATGAAATTTAAGAGTTATAAATGTGGTAAAACAGCACAATAAAAGTTGGAGGGGGCTTTAGGGTCTTAAGTTAAGAAAAAATGCATCATGCAAAAAAAAAAACTAACAATAATTGTTAATTATGACTCATAATTTATGAGGTACTTAACAGTTGGATTATATAAAAATTAAATAGTCTCTTCCAAAAAGAAACCGTTTTAGAATATATACAGGGTGTACTGAAAATGTTGGTAGAAAGTTTAACAATAAAGAAAAATATTTTTCAGTAGAATATGGACATTGTTGTAGGAAAATGCATTTTCTAGGATCATGACATGGCAAAATAAGCATTAAAAAGGCATTAAAATTAAAAGTCAGCCAACATTTTATTTCTGTATCTTCTAGTGTTAGGAAGTTATAAAAAAGATGTTTAACCCCTGTAACTTGAAAAATAAATCACTAAAGAGTAGAGATGCGACTTGAAAAAAAACGGTCCGTTTTTTTTGTTTTTTTTCAGGTTTTTTTTTCAAATGGTTTTTTTTCACATTTTAGGTTTTTTTTCAAGATTAGTCCCATTTGCCTAATTTTTTATGTTTCCATGGACTAAAATTAGTCACTAAATGACAATTATTAAATGTAAATACAGTCCCGCGTTATGCACTCGCCACAACCACCGATTTGACCAATAAGGGTCGCGCTTGTTTTGATTTGGTCCTAAAAAAAGTAACTACATATAATATTTTTGATTCAGCGCTTGATTTTTCAAAAAGCTACCAAAAGCACTTTTTTCATGATTTTTCAAATTTATGTAGAGTATGGAATTTTTTTTTCAAAAAACAATAGCAAATGCTTGTAGAACATTTCTTCATTGGTGGTCAGAACATTCTGTAGACCAAAAAAGAAATACAAATACTTTTTTACGGCTCCAATACGACCATTTTTAACAAATATACAGCTATCCGAAAAATCGCAAAAAAAAATGTTCTCCTTTAATTTTTTGTATTAGTGTAAAAGTTTTACATTGCTATTGGTTTTTAATGTGGAAACTACCAAATAATAAGAAATCAGATTTTTTAGTCTTGGTCAAAATTTTCAATAATGAACATTTTACTCAAAATTTCATTTTGAAAAAAAACAAAAAAAAAACCGTTTTTTTTCTAGGTTTTTTTTCATGTTTTTTTTCACATCTGAAAAAAAAACCGTTTTTTTACATCTCTACTAAAGAGCATTAGTTCAAATAAAAAAATGTTGTTTCTTACTAAGGAATCCACATATTAATTTTCATCAAAAATTTAGTACACCCTGTATTTATATAAACTGTTCTTAAAATCACTTCTAGAATCATCTTTTGTGTAAGCACATAATTTAGAAACACCCTGTTTGTCTTTTATTTTATTTACAGTATTCTTTATAATATTATTATTAATTTTATATACAGGGTGTCCCGAAATTAGGGGGCCAAACTTAAACAGTGCATTCTTCATAGAAAAGTAACACTTTTTTGTTAAATAAACATGTATCAAAAAATGCCCCCTGAAGGAGCTACGGCCCCCTGAATAGGAGCCTAAGAGAATAGTTTTTTTAAAACTATTCCTAGAGCGTTAAACATTAAGAAATGAAATTTTGGCACTCTGGTAATTTTTAGATGCTGAATCAAGATCTAAGATCAAAACTGTTAAAATTTAATCATAGGCGTAACATTTGGGGTGGAAAAGTTATAAAAATAGCCCCAACTTTTTTCCGAGATAATATTTTAATTTTTTTTTTAAGAAATTATGAAAACTTTTAGTTTCTTACGAAAAATAAGTAGTCTTGATTTGAATCGCTCAGATGCACCATTTTCGAGAAAAATGCATTTATAAATTACTCTGCATAGCATACACATCTCATATTTTCGTTATAATTTTGTGTTAAAATTTGGAAAATCGCTTCATAATAAAAAATAACAAAAATCGAGCCAAAAAATGTTAACTAAACTATAAAAATAAATGTAAAGTCAGCAAATAACCCAAACGTCACTTTTGTCCCAAAGCTTTTTAATGAAAATATTAGAAATTATGCTAAGCATAGTAATTTAAATTGCAATTTTCTCGAAAACGGTGCATCTGAGCGATTCAAAGCAAGAGTACCTATTTTTCGTGAAAAATTATACATTTTTATAATTTTATAACAAAACATTAAAATACTCACTCTGCAAAAAGTTGGGGCTGTTTTTGTAAATTTGCCCCCTCAAATGTTACGCCTATGATTAAATTTTAACAGTTTTGATTTTAGATCCAGATTCAGAATGTCGAAATTAGCAAAGTCCCAAAAATTCAGGTCTTCATGTTCAACCCTCTAGGAATAGTTTTTAAAAAATGGTGCTCTTAAGCTCCTATTTAGGGGGGCGTAGCTCCGTTAGGGGGCATTTTTTGATATATGTTTATTAAACAAAAAAGTGTTATTTTTCTATAAAGAATGCACTGTTTAAGTTTGGCCCCCTAATTTCGGGACACCCTGTATTTCTTTTCAATAAAAGTAAGCAAAACCATGCATGGAGAATGCATACCAATTTTAACTTTAAACAGTTGCTTTAATTAAATTTTATTTTTGACATCTGTCACATAACCTTAAAAATTGCCATATTGCAACGTTGCCCTATCCTCCCTGAAGACGGAGATGTTTTTAGATAAAGAAGAAGAAGAACGTTTCCCGTAGTAGTTCAAATTACCTTAGAACAAAGCAAATTACCGAGTTAAGTTCTTTGGTTACAGTGTTGCCAAGTACGATAATTTAAGTTACTTTACGATATACGATAGCAAATGTACTATCGTCATATACCTAAGGTATATGACTATCGTACTCAAAAATACGATAATTTGAAACATAAATAGTCTTTAAAATATTCCTTTTTTGCATATGCGAAGGTTGGCAACTGGAAATTCCAGTTACCAACATCCGCATATCGCGCGTGAAATATTCCAGTCTGGAATATTTCACACACGATATTGACCCCTAAGCACAAGTTTTTTTGAGCGAATTTCGTTCTTATGATATATAACAAATGACTGTAACAACAGTGCGACGTTTAGTACGCCACACGTTTCTTTTGATTGGATTGTGGACAAATAGTTTTCCAATAATGATTTCCATATATTCTTATTTGAATTTCACCAGCCAATTGTGATATTTTTTACTTTAAATGGTTTTAGTGGCAAGGGGTGTACTAAAGTTCATCAAAAAAAGTCATCTGTATGCATAGAAAATGCGCCTAGCAGGTGAAATACTGAAAAATAATGTTCAGTAGAGTTGTGTAGTTCGCGAACGAACTAGTTCGGAAGAGCGCTCTTTTAGATGAACTACGCGAACTCACAAAACTAGTTTTGTGCGCGAACTAGGTCCCTAGGTTTTAGTTCGTTCGTTCCTTTTCCGAGATTGGAATTTTGAATCTATGTTTCTAATTAAAGTATCACTCTAAAATTTACAGGTTTCTGTAATTTAAAAGCTTTGTTTGTTTACTACAAAAGTTTATAAAAAAATTAGAAATATTATTTTTAGTACTTTTTTTATCTTAATCAAAACGCATTTAAAAAATAACAAAAGTTGCTTTTTTAGATCGTTAATTCAGTGAACTAAATAAGTTCACAGCGCTTTACTAAAGCGGCTTTAGGTCTGCGAACTAACGAACTAATAAAGCGAACTAGTTCGTTAAAAAGACACGAACTAAAGTGATCGCTCCCAGTCGCGACCTATAATGCCCAAGCCATTGTTCAGTTTTTCACCTGCCAGACGCATTTGCCATGCTTACAGATTGGACAGGCCTTTCTTTTTGATAAGGCTTATCAGATAAGCTTTAGTAAACCTCTTAAAAATGCGCTCCCCACAAAGATAATACTATTATTATAATATTATCTTTGGCTCCCCATGGGGCCCACTTGTATTTTCTGACGTATTTTCCGCCTCAACCCATCGGAAAAGGCACTCATTTCATTTATAGATTTGCTTAGAAACACTAATTGAAAAATTCCATTGATGTTTGCTGACTGCAAAAATTAGTAGATGCGACTTGAAAAAAAGGGGTCCGTTTTTTTTTCATTGTTTTTTTTCAAATGGTTTTTTTTCAGATTTTAGGTTTTTCTTCAAGATTAGTCCCATTTGCCTAATTTTTTAGGTTTCATGGACTAAAATTAGCCACTAAATGACAATTAGTAAATGTAAATACAGTCTTGCGCTATGCACGCGCCACCACCACCGAATTGACCAATAAGGGCCGCGCTTGTTTTGATTTGGTCCTAAAAAAAGTAACTACATATATATTTTTGATTCAGCGCTTGATTTTTCAAAAGCTACCAAAAGCACTTTTTTATGATTTTTCAAATTCATGTAGAGTATGGATTTTTTTTTCAAAAAAACAATAGCAAATTGTGGAGCAGAAAGCCAAAAAAAATCGATTTTTTTTTATTACGGTATTTGTTAGGATTGAGCGTTGCACATTTTTCATCTAAAAATCTCAAAACTAAAAACTTCAAGCTTCAAATTGCTTTTTTTACGGCTCCAATACGACCATTTTTAACAAAGATACAGCTATCCGAAGAATCGCAAAACATTTTTTTTTATCCTTTAATTTTTTGTATTGGTGTAGAAGTTTTACATTGCTACTGGTTTCTAATGTGGAAACTACCAAATAAAAAGAAATCAGATTTTTTAGTCTCGGTCAAAATTTTCAATAATGAAAAATTTAATATATTCTACATATGTAGAATATATTAAATTTTTCATTATTGAAAATTTTCACTTTATTATTAATAGGTATATATTTTACTCAAAATTTAATTTTGAAAAAAAAACAAAAAAAACCGTTTTTGACATCTCTAAAAATTAGTACCAAAAAAGTTCACTGCCTCCAAGATTTTTAAGTTTATTTTGTTTTTTAATATTAATTAATTTATTTATAGAAGTATAAAGTATACAAGTACCTGAATATAATGTTGATTTTATTTTATTAGTTTACTAAGTGTTAATATCTGTACCACCAACCATAGTAATAAGTCTACTTTTTTAATATAACACTTCTTGTTTTTAATGCAAAATTTTTGCTCACTTTTCGCTTAAGTACTTATTTTTTAAAACCTATATCAAGAACTGAATAAAATAAAAAAGTAGACTTATAGTCTGGCTCTGGGGTACATTATAGGAATAATTTCCTAATTTTAACAAAAAGTTAAATATTTTTCCATTATTATTTTTTTTGGGAATATATATTTTGTATCTAAATTTGTTGTTTTTGTACAGTGTGTATACTATTTTTTTTACCTGAATATATTAATTTATTATAAGTAGTTTTTTTAAATTTCTCTTAGAACTTACATATTAAGCAAATTACTTTGTTTTTGTTCTTTTTTATGCATTTGTTTATAATGTAACAAAACTTCTCTAAAAATTTAAGTTTTTCTACATTTTATAAAACAAATACTAAAAAAAGAAGTATAAAAACATGAAATGATTTGCCGGATGCCTGTATCTTTTGCTATAGCCTTTGTATATGAATAAGTTACATTCATGGAACATTACATCTAAACATACTATATTCGTTAATAAAATACGTATATATAAGGTAATAAAATACGTATATATAAGAGGTAACTTAGGCACATAGCATGCATGTTTTAAATTTACTTTAATTGATGTTTCAAACTAACGTTTTCAGTACGTAACAAAGTAACATCTCGAAAACATTGTCCAATGTAAACATGTTGCGGAAATTCGGAGGTTGTCTCAATAGACATGCGATATCAACAGTACATTGCACGGTTTAATGTACCCAATTTTACATAGCTGTACATTGTTGGGATGTTTCTGTGCTAGCTGGGTGAATATTATTGACTATTATATGGAACAATTTATAGTTGTCAGGAAAGTAGAGGCAAGAACGTAGCGGCATCTTTTCTTACCTGAACCGCTACTCCAGCCAATCCAGACAATTTTCAGTTGGCAGCCTCGCCTTGTAAGTTTAGTGGGCAACCAAACTTAGTAAATTAATTGTCAAGCTTAAAGCTCTAGATAGGTCATGGTTTAAACTTATCCAGTGTCGTGCCAAATAAATTACGTTAATATTCATTATTTTTTATTCAAAACAGTAGCACTGATGCAAAAGTAATTGAAGAAAAACTTGCTTACTTTGGCGTAACTATCATCCCCCCAAAGGATGCCCACTTATTACATTCCATATGACACAATGTATTGATAATAAAAATCTTGACAATATTGAACGCGTGAATGCACCTTTATACATTTTAATGATAATAGGGAAGGTAAAGGCAAAAAAAACTATATTCATAGTAAAACAATTTTTACGTAGTGTTTTGTTAAATAAAACAATTTATAGTAATAAATTATGTTACATATATAATAAAACTATTAATTATTTACAATTTCTTTTAGTTTACTTTCAATATACTTAACTCGGTGCACTAATTTATCCCTACATTTAAATTCTGTAAAGGGGACAGATAAAACTTTGTAACCTTGTGCTTTTAAGAAATTTGATGCTAAAACATTAACGCCTGTTGGTTCTACTCTACCTTTACTCATGTCATAGAAATCGTAAGCCATTAAAGCAATCCTAAAAAAAAAATTAATAAAAAATAAATTAATAATATAACAAGTCTCATACTTTTTAGCTTCTTTGTTGGTTTTATCATTTAAAGGTAATGGGTTGCATTTTTTGTCTAATACAAATTCAGCATCTAAAAGGAATTTATTAAAAATATTAAACACTATTTCTTGATATTGTTACCAATATTAAAACCAAATCCAGTATTTACATTGGTTCCAAGATTATCCTCAGATCTAATTAAATTTTTTAAGGTATCTACCACTGAGTCAACCATGTATTTCTTTTCCTTTGATCTTAAAATAACAGTATTAATAATTTCTGAACCATCTGGCAAGGTTGGACCCTTGTAATTGGGAACGACAACCCTGGCATGTCCGTTAATGTTAAGAAGTTTTAGTTTTGCTGACAGGCTCAAAGTATTTTCTTCTAAAACATAAAAATATTATTTATACATGTTTTGCATTTTGAAACTTTTTGTAGCTCCCTGATATTTTTTTCATCACTCTCTAGTTTTATAGAATATAAAATATCAGAAAATCATGAAATACAATAAAAAAAATTGTATTTTTCGTTTGTATTCGCTGGCATCGGTTTTAAGTTTGTACCTCTTCTTCATTTGGGCTATTGTTGCAAAAATCTTTTTTTAAGACGCCAAAAAGTGCACCTATAGGTTGAGTAATATTTCCTGAAAACTTATGTTTTCAGGAAATAATACTCAACGCGAATGAAGAAAATGCAGTTTAAGAGACATGCAAGATTGGATAAGTTCTTCAACTAGTTCTTTATGCATATTTCTCCAATGAATACCTACATCCTAGAAAGTTGTTACACACATTTTAAGGCCTATTATATAATAATAAGTAAGGCAAAGCTTTAGAAGGGCATATTCGTTGGGCGGCAAATATGATAATTTAAGACACTTCCCTTGTGGAAATTTTTCTCTGAGAAAGTCTTACTTTCTCTGAAAAAGTCTGAATAATACTTATTAAGTCGGAAAAAGTCAGAATAAGACTTATTAAGTCGGAAAAAGTCTGAATAAGTCTTATTAAGTCGAACTAATAGCAAGATTTGGGAGTCTTCTGGAAGAGTTAATAAGACTTTTTAAGACTTAATAAGACTTTTAGTAGAGAAATGGTAGGTACCCATGGAGATAAAAATAAATATCCGAAATAATTCATAGAGGTTGTATTTGGTTATCGTAAAATAAAACACATAGACAAGTATTTATTAACATTTTTGCTGTTGTTATAAGCCAAGTTTATTGCATAATTACCTATATACTAACATAGGTAAGATGTAATAATTAGGTATAACAATTATAATTTTATACATACGATGCGCTTGACATGCATGCTTCCACCATAGAAAAAGGAGTTGCCACTGTACGTTTTATTTTAATAGTTTCTTTTGAAACACGCAAATATTTACCTATCTAAACATTGTTACAAACAATAGACGTAGAAAATTACAGTTAAGGGTGGGTTGTACCAGTCCGAGTTAACTCGCGTGTTTATTAAACTACGATTAAAAATAACTCTAGATTATTCCAGTTATTCGTTGTACAAAACCATTGCAACACTGGTTTAGTTAAACCCTCGTTAATCCTAAACATAGGATTGTTGGTAGCACTGGTATGTTATTTAAACGTCAAAGTGACAACTTTTTTAAGTTTTAATTGTTTAAATTTCAAAATAAAAAGGTCCAATTTAATTGTCGCTACTTTTTCATCTTATAAAACGTAAGTTTTAACATGTTTTTATACAATGTAGTTTACTACCTATCATTATTTTGACTTCATAGATGTCGGACAAGAGAAAACGTGCAAATAACTTTACGGAAAAGGAGGATGCAATACTGTTGAAAACTTTAAGTCCATTTGCGTCTGCAATTGAAAGTAAAAAAACAGACGCCGATAAAAACAGAATTAAAGCAGAAGCCTGAGAAAAAATTGTGACCTTATATAACCAACAAAGTGAACTATACAGGGTGTATCTGAGAATAGGCGCACCCCTGTAACTTTTTTATTTATAAAGATAGACACATAAAATTTTGCATGGTTAATTAGGATATAAAATTCCACTTATAAGAGTACAAAATGAATGAACGTTTTGTAATGTTTTTACATCTCTATACCGGGTGTATTTGAGAATAGGCGCACCCCTGTAACTTTTTTATTTATAAAGATAGACACATGAAATTTTGCATGGTTAATTAGGATATAAAATTCCACTTATAAGAGTACAAAATGAATTTTTTAAACTTCCGGTTTCGCCGGAAATGATACCAACTTTCGATTTTTAAATGGAGTGCCCTATATATTTTTAAATATTTGGAATCATAAGAAAATTCATAAGAGTCAGAGAGCATCCTCAAATTGACCTTTTGACGTTTTGTCACCAGAAAATGTATCATCATAAAGATCAATCTAGAGTGCTTTGAACTATCTTATTTTCTTCTAATGGATTCCCACAATGCCTGAAAAATGGAACTTGCCTTAAAGTTGTTATTCAGCTATTCCCAGCAGTCTAAACTTGTCAACAAAATTCGTTTTTCTCAAATAGTTCAAAGCACTCTAGATTGATCTTTATGATGATGCATTTTCTGATGACGAAACGTCGAAAGGTCAATTTGAGGATGCTGTCCGACTCAGAATTTTCTCGTTATTCTAAATATGTAAAATTATATAGAGCGTTCCATTTAAAAATCAAAAGTTGATATCATTTCCGGCGAAACCGGAAGTTTAAAAAATTCATTTTGTACTCTTATAAGTGGAATTTTATATCCTAATTAACCATGCAAAATTTCATGTGTCTATTTTTATAAATATAAAAGTTACAGGGGTGCGCCTATTCTCAAATACACCCGGTATAGAGATGTAAAAACATTACAAAACGTTCACCAATTGTATAAAATCTTCGTCGTCGGTTAATTATCAAGTTCTTCTATTTGCGCGAAAGCCATAATTATTGTATAATTTTAAGCTTTAACAGAAAAGTGAGGTTATTCAACATTTAGGGTGGGTTGTACCAGTCCGAGTTAACCCTAGATTATTTTTAATCCGCGATTAAGTGCTAAAATGCGTTGTACGAAGGTTAATCGAAGATTAACCGATGATTAACATAAAGATTATCTGTGAAATTTAACTCGCCAATTTTGGCAGTTTAAATGTTGAATAACCTCACTTTTCTGTTAAAGCTTAAAATTATACAATAATTATGGCTTTCGCGCAAATAGAAGAACTTGATAATTAACCGACGACGAAGATTTTATACAATTGGTGAACGTTTTGTAATGTTTTTACATCTCTATACCGGGTGTATTTGAGAATAGGCGCACCCCTGTAACTTTTATATTTATAAAAATAGACACATGAAATTTTGCATGGTTAATTAGGATATAAAATTCCACTTATAAGAGTACAAAATGAATTTTTTAAACTTCCGGTTTCGCCGGAAATGATATCAACTTTTGATTTTTAAATGGAACGCTCTATATAATTTTACATATTTAGAATAACGAGAAAATTCTGAGTCGGACAGCATCCTCAAATTGACCTTTCGACGTTTCGTCATCAGAAAATGCATCATCATAAAGATCAATCTAGAGTGCTTTGAACTATTTGAGAAAAACGAATTTTGTTGACAAGTTTAGACTGCTGGGAATAGCTGAATAACAACTTTAAGGCAAGTTCCATTTTTCAGGCATTGTGGGAATCCATTAGAAGAAAATAAGATAGTTCAAAGCACTCTAGATTGATCTTTATGATGATACATTTTCTGGTGACAAAACGTCAAAAGGTCAATTTGAGGATTCTCTCTGACTCTTATGAATTTTCTTATGATTCCAAATATTTAAAAATATATAGGGCACTCCATTTAAAAATCGAAAGTTGGTATCATTTCCGGCGAAACCGGAAGTTTAAAAAATTTATTTTGTACTCTTATAAGTGGAATTTTATATCCTAATTAACCATGCAAAATTTCATGTGTCTATCTTTATAAATAAAAAAGTTACAGGGGTGCGCCTATTCTCAAATACACCCGGTATAGAGATGTAAAAACATTACAAAACGTTCATTCATTTTGTACTCTTATAAGTGGAATTTTATATCCTAATTAACCATGCAAAATTTTATGTGTCTATCTTTATAAATAAAAAAGTTACAGGGGTGCGCCTATTCTCAGATACACCCTGTATAGTTCACTTTGTTGGTTATATAAGGTCACAATTTTTTCTCAGGCTTCTGCTTTAATTCTGTTTTTATCGGCGTCTGTTTTTTTACTTTCAATTGCAGACGCAAATGGACTTAAAGTTTTCAACAGTATTGCATCCTCCTTTTCCGTAAAGTTATTTGCACGTTTTCTCTTGTCCGACATCTATGAAGTCAAAATAATGATAGGTAGTAAACTACATTGTATAAAAACATGTTAAAACTTACGTTTTATAAGATGAAAAAGTAGCGACAATTAAATTGGACCTTTTTATTTTGAAATTTAAACAATTAAAACTTAAAAAAGTTGTCACTTTGACGTTTAAATAACATACCAGTGCTACCAACAATCCTATGTTTAGGATTAACGAGGGTTTAACTAAACCAGTGTTGCAATGGTTTTGTACAACGAATAACTGGAATAATCTAGAGTTATTTTTAATCGTAGTTTAATAAACACGCGAGTTAACTCGGACTGGTACAACCCACCCTTAAACTGCCAAAATTGGCGAGTTAAATTTCACAGATAATCTTTATGTTAATCATCGGTTAATCTTCGATTAACCTTCGTACAACGCATTTTAGCACTTAATCGCGGATTAAAAATAATCTAGGGTTAACTCGGACTGGTACAACCCACCCTAAGTTAGATAATTACGAAGTTACATAGGTAAAAGTTATAATGTCAGTTTAGATTTCAGAACTACTCATCCCCCTATGGGGCGCCGTTTTATTTTTTATTCAGTAATTATTTTTATGTGTTAACAATAAAGTCATATTTTTAATTAGATACAAAATATCACACAAGAATTTTTATTCTGCGAATTAATAATATCATAGCAGATATTTTAAAATTAGATTTAATTTTTATGCCAAACTGATATTTTTATTTTAGCGAATTTAAATTATCTGTTTCTTATATTTGTATTTTATTGCTCAACACATATTTTTAATTCGCTAAATTAAAAATTAGATTTAATTTTTATGCCAAACTGATATTTTTAATTTAGTTAATTTAGAATATTTGCTTCTAATATTTGTATTTTTTTGCTCAACACATATTTTTAATTCGCTTCATTAAAAATATCTTATGACAATTTTTTAAATGTATTAAAAATGTCATAGCAGGTACTTTGAATTGGATTTAATTTTTATTTTATTAAATAAGCAGATATTTTTAATTCAATGTGATATTTTTAATTCCGACTGGTTGAGA